TACCTTATTCTTTTAATTATTTTATATAATATTTACCTTATTCTTTTAATTATTTTATATAATAATAATCAAAATATTCACATTCATATGGGCGTTTTTGAAAATAATATTATTGTATTATTGTTAAAATTAACATCAATAACATTAGACTTGATCTTCTTAATTATATTGTTCATTCTCAAAGTAGAAAATTATATTGTAATTATTTTAATTTAATAAAATATAATTTAAATTTTTAATACTAAAATTAAAAGATAAAATAATAATGACTTTAATTCTTTAAATTGAGTATTTAGAAACTAAAATTATAGTTTCTCTATTTTAAATAATTAAAATAAAAATCAATATCAAAACTAGTATTATCTTCATTTTTTTTGTTTCAAACTTCTTAATTCTACATTTTTGTAACTTCTATCATTATATTATCATCCTCATCTCATCTTATGTTCTACTTTATCTTTACAATAGTTAATATTCTTAAATAATCTATATTTTTAATTATAAATTTCATAAATTAATCAATTCTAATCTATTATTTGAAAAACTAATCAATTCTAATCAATAATTTAGAAAACTAATCGATTATAATTAATTATTTGAAAAAATTATCAAATATGATCGATCATTTTGAAAATATAATCGATCAGAATCGGATTTCGCTTGAGCGAGAGTAGTCTCGCTCAAGCGAAATACAACCCGAGACTTAATATGGTTGTATATGATAGCGGTTCCACCGAACAGCTCTTAAAGGGAACTTCTAATAGCAGTTAAACCTTAACCGCTATCTAATATACACTTAAGATAGCGGTTATAAGGGAACCGCTATTATATCCTCTCAATTATGATCGATCATTTCAAGTTATGATCGATCAGAATCGTATTTCGCTCGAGCGAGAGTGGTCTCGCTCAAGCGAAATACAACCCGAGAATGCCAATTTTGTGCAGGGGACGTTTCGCTCGAGCGAGACCATTGTCGCTCAAGCGAAATACATTTTAGATAGCGGTTCCACAAGTGAAATGTCAAGTGAAATGTTTTTACAATATTTTAATCGATACAACTTGATTTTAATCGATTAAAACCACTTAAGGGTTCAGGATGATCGATCATAATGCAATTATGACCGATCAGAATCAGTTTTAATCGATTAAATCTCGTTTCAATCGATTAAAACAACTTAAAAATTTCTACACAGCGTTTTAATCGATTAAAACTTATTTTTATCAGTTAAAATAACTTGAAAAGTTTTACAAGAAAGTTTTGCAGTATTTCAATCGATTGAATCGTGAAACAATCGATTAAATCAACTTAGAGGATTTTTTGTAAAGTGTTTTAATTGATATAAACATTGTCGTATCAGTTAAAACAAATCTGTTAAAGAATAAAGAACGTATTAATGGATTAAAAGAAGTTTTAACAGATTAAAACTGCACTTTTAACAGATTAAAAGAATCTTTTAACAGATTAATTAAACCAGCAGTTTTGAAAATCTTCTATTAAAACAGTTTGGCTTGAACTTTTTTAACATACATTGAATATCATCTTTTACACATCCTTGAGCAATCAATCAAGCAAACTTCAGCACTCTTTTCAAGAAAGATTCGCATCAGTTTTTGAGAAGTTCTTTGAAAATCTTTCTTGAGACAACTTGATTTCTTTTGAAGAAGAAACACTTACAGTGAATTGCATAAACTGGTTTGAGCATTCTAGTTTCTTCTTTTCATTTCTTTACATTCTTTTTGTATTGTTTGGTGCCTGGAATTTGGGCACTTGGTTTCTCTACAGCTTGGAATTTGGTTGTAGAGGTTATTAAGAGCTGGAATTTGGTAATACGAGAAAACATTTCAGAAAGCAAAATGTTAAATACTTTTAAATATTAAAATTGACTTTATAAAAAATTAGGAAAAAAAATTAATCAAAAAGAGTTCAAAAATGTATTATAATATTTTCAGTTTTAGTTTAATTATATTTTTCATTCTCAAAGTAGAAAAATATATTGTAATATTATTTTAATTTAATAAAATATAATTTAAATTTTTAATACTAAAATTAAAAGATTAAATAATAATAAATTTAATTCTTTAAATTTAGTATTTAGAAACTAAAATTATAGTTTCTCTGTTTTAAAAAATTAAAATAAATATTTAAAAATAAAAATCAAAACTATTATTATGTTAAATTTATTAAAAGTATAATTAAATCTCTATTTTCTTCAATTTTTTAATATAAATTTTTAAAATATAAATTAATTTCAATTGAAATTTTCAATTGAAAAATAAATTCAAGAATATTTGTTATTAAACTTTTCTTAAACAATGTATTGAATAGTTAACATCACTCTAGTCTTAATTTATTACAATTTAAATTTTTAATAAATTTGATTTATTACAATTCATTTTGTTAATATTGAGACCAAAGTTTATTTTTAAAGTATATTTTAAAAATTAAATTATTTTTAAAAACTAAATTACTTTTAAAAAATAAATTGTAAAAAATATACTAAAACAATTAAAGTATATTTATAAAAAAAATTTAAATATAATAAAAAAATAATATTCATTAGCGTACCGATTTCAATTCGGTCGCTATTTTCTCATTAGCGACCGATTTTAATTCGGTCACTATTTCAATTTGTAATTCGGTCGCTAAATCGAGTCGCTAAATGATTTTTTTATTTCAGTATGAAATAGCCATCGATTTAGCGATCGAAATTTTGCTACGCAAAAATATTGGTCGCTATTTTGGTCGCTAAATAAAAAAGTGCAAAATAAATCATATGTTGGTTGCTAAATCGGTCGCTAATTGCAACCAAATTAAAGTGGTCGCTGAATCGGTCACTAATTGCGATCGAATTAAAGTGGTCGCTAAATCGGTCGCTAATTGCGACCAAAATTAAATCGGTCGCTAAAACGGTCGCTAATTGCGACCGAAAAAATTCGGTCGCTAATTTCGGTGGCTAAATGTGTTTTTTCTTGTAGTGTACAAAACCATCAAACACGTTTCTTTTGGATCAATTGATTTCTTTTATTAGTTAATTTATATCACCATTTAATTTATACACCAATGAACCTATTGATATTTTCTAATAATAAACTCATTTTCTAGTCAAGGAAAACTCGTTTAATATTTTAAAGAACATGCAATATATAATTATAATATTGAACGTGAATTCAATGTAATTATTTAGAAAAAATATTTGATCTAAGATAATCTCACCTCTTAATATAATCCAACCTACAAAATTATCATCCCAATTTGCCTTCAATTAATTGATATTTTTTTATTAATTAATAATCATCATCCAACCATATTTCCTTAGTTCGTTAATAAATACGTCTTTGTTTAACGTGATAACACGTGTTTAAAGAAAAAATATATCTTTGCTAAAGATGATTTTTGCAATGGAGGTCCACGAAATGTTGTCGAGTGTAAACAAAATGATTGATAGGGGTTGGAAGCTGATTAATTGGAGGACAAATTTGAGTGGTTAACCAACTTACACTCGATATGCTATCCGATATAGTGCTTGAAAGTTGGTTGAGATAGATTATTGTGATTTCAATTGCGGAAATAATCAATGATAATTCGATAAGAAATAAAAACTAACTATTTATTTCTTTAATCGAAAGAAGACTTTTCTTATATCACTACGAGAAAAAACACATTTAGCCACCGAAATTTGCGACCGATTTAGTGACCGATTAAATTTTGGTCGCAATTAACGACCGATTTAATTCGGTCACAATTAACAACCAATTTAGCGACCACTTTAATTCTATCGCAATTACCGTATTTAAATACGAACATTTTATTTATGTTATTTATTTACAATAATAACAAAATGTATTATTAATTATCATCTCAAATTTTTATAATTGAATCCGTTAATTAAATAATATATTTTCTAAACTTGATTTACAAATACAATCATGAAAAAATACACAATTCTTAAAGTTTATGAGTTCATAAAATTTCTAAGAAAGAAAACAAAAGATTATGTTTCTGAGCAAAGAGGTTATTGTTTCTTGCTAAACGTATTATGGTTCTTTTAGAACCTAATTGTTCTTTCTTCTTCTTATATACTCACCCATTAAATTTGACTGAAACTATTTCCAAGGGAACAACATTGTTTCTGCAATTGAAATCACAATAATCTATCTCAACCAACTTTCAAGCACTATATCAGATAGCATATCGAGTGTAAGTTGGTTAACCACTCAAATTTGTCCTCCAATTAATCAGATTCCAACCCCTATCAATCATTTTGTTTACACTGACAACATTTCTGTGGACCTCCATTGCAAAAATCATCTTTTGCTTCTTCCTACACTTTACTTATCATGGTTCCTTTGTTAAAACAGATTTTCAGTCCCTAAAAAGCAATGAGAGTGGGAGTCATGGTGCAGAAATTTAAGACACATCTAGAATTTAGAGAGATGATACAACTACACTTTATTCTCTCCATTACTATACTTTTAGGAAAATAAATGAAATGCAACTATATACTGGAGAGTATCATTTATTTCCTCAAAAGCGTAGTAATGAAAAAAATAGAGAGGGTCTCTTCTTATATCTGAAAGGGTACACACAGTTCTACTTTCCTTGCTTCCCGATGAACACCAAACAGACCCTAACAATGTGGAGGATGTGAAACAAGAGAACAACTTTTAACAAGAAGGAGTCATAAAATGGAAGCTGGTTTTACACTTAATGCATTTTAGTTGATATTTGATGCTATAAAAAACTGTTCAACCGCAATGGCAATGAATGACTTGTATGCAGAGTACAAGTTGAAGAAGTTAAAGAAAACTGGTTCAACTGATTAAAAATAAGCCTCCGCAACGAGTTAAAGAAAATTATTTAATGTAACTGCAAAAGCATGCTCTTCCACAGACAGCATAAAATTTCGGAGTTAAAACACACTTTTGGTTTCTTAATAAACACTGTTGAGGCAATGATAAACAAAGTCGATGTTATCTATTATGTTACCTTCAGTGCTTACCCATTCCAGTCCATCTAATTATAGCACACATGTTGAACTGTTCCAGTGTTTGAGTTAACTGCAAAATTAGAAGCATTTATGAGGTATTTAACATTTGACAGTGCTTATAATGCTGAGCATCAATGACATTAATGATTGAATCCACGTGTTATTTCATGTGTTCAAATTTCAATAGTTATATAACGCATGTGTTTTGCTGAATCCTTGAACTCACAGCAAAGTGACAAACAAAATACAATGGAGCATATAAAATGTTACTCCCAGTAGGGTACCAAATACAGAAAAATAAAAGTGTCAAAGGCCACAGACATGCAGTTTCCCACACCTAAGTACTATACATTAACACATGGACATACAAAGGCTTCCTTCATATGAGGAAGAGCCAATATTAATGAATATCCACTCAATGTTACAACTAGTGCATAAGATTAATGATGGTTGTCTAAGTGATCAAGAAGCCTAACAGCTCTATGAATGTCTAATATCAATTCATGTGAACCTAATCTTCTCACGGGATATAACAGACCAAACAAAAAACAAAAAGAGATACAGCAGCCAGAAAAACAAACTCTTACGATGGAGATGCAGTGCGTGTAGATTGGTACATGTTGGCAAAACTCAAACATAAGTGGCCATCTCTATCATCCCCCAACCTCGCCAACCTTTAAACCCTGCTTTATAACCAGGCTGATTCTCATAGGTGTGGACTTTCCAATGCACTTCAATGTTAGAAACTGTGTCAGGCTGTTCTACATTAATGTTCACCATGCCATTGTCCATGCAAGCCTTATTCTCATAAAATGCTATAAAATTTTGGTTTCAAAATAATTGTATATTTAACAAATGTTTTATCATAAAATATAAAAAGTACAAATAAAAATAAAACAAGAATAAAATTTAAAATTTGAAATCCAAATATATTAAATGAAACTAATAAAAAAATGTTAGATATGTTTTATTATACTTTGTTCAGAAAAAATAAAAAATGTATATATTAATTATTTTAATTTAAATAAATAAAGTTAAAATTATAACATTGTTAATATTTTTTTAATCTATAATTGTTAATAATTGTATTACACAATTTATACTTTATAGTTCTTTACAGAATAAGAACATATTAATTAAAAAAGTCTATAAAATTTAGTGACAATAGTATTTATTTAAATTATTTTTAACTTTTTTTTAATCGGATATTATAAATAAAGAAAAAATTTGATAAAGAAAAAATTATAAAAAAAAAATCAAAGAGGTGATCTCATAAAAACAATAATAAATTATAAATAAATAAAAAAGAATTTAGAGAAGAGAAATAAAATTTAAAATTTGAAATTCAAATAAATATATATTAAAAGAAACAATCCAGCAATTTTAGACATGTGTTTTATTATATTTTATTTATATTGTTCAGAAAGAGATAAAAAATATAATATATTAATTATTTAAATTTAAGAAATTATAATTAAAATAAAAATATTATTAATATTTAATATTTATTAACCTATCATTATTAATAGTTGTATTAGAATTTATACTTTCTAGTTTTTTATAAAATAATAATATATTACTGGAAAAACGTCTCTAAAATTTAGTGAGAATAATATTGATTTAAGATGTTTGACTCTATTTTCATATTTTTCTAGTATTAAAAAGACCTTGTTTACTTTATTTTCTTAAATTATATTCATAATGTTTTTCATAAAATTATAATGCAAAATAAATAAATAAATAAATGTATATATTATCGATATATCAAAGGATTTTTTAGTTTTCATATACATTTGATGCAAAATTGATAAATCAAGATAAATTTATAATAATCAATGATAATTCTGATAAGAAAAAAAACTAGCTATTTATTTCTTCAATGGAAAGAAGACTTTCCTTATATATTACTAATTTGGATGAATTTAGTTTTTTTCCAACACCAAATTTCTCAATCATGTGGGTACTTAAATCCAACCAAACTAATTCACCATCATATGTTTGGAATAGCATATTGCCCATATTCCTTGCTCCAACAGGACGAGCAATGCAAGGTGAGAGATCAAGAACGAAAATTTTTGCCCATGTTTCCTTCTTACCGAGTTCAACCAAAATTGATATATAAAATGTAGTTGAATTTCCATACTTCGACATCACAGCGATAGACCCATTTAAGACCAATAAATACCAATAGATATAATGATCAAAATTATCATAGGTTTGGATAGATATCTCTAAGGGCATGAGAGTCTTATAACACACCTCATTGCTCAATTCATACGATACCAAATATTCTTTATTGTCATTTTTCTGACCAAACCAATGACATATTCCATCCAAGTACACCTGTTGATCGCAAATAAGAGAACAGGGAATATCTTCATCAATTTTAAGTTTTCTCCAAGAATTACTTCTTAGGCTATACATCTCCCATAAGGTTTCACACATGTTAAAATCATCAGGGTAATCATCATCTTCATTTAATGGATAGACATCATCTTCATTCAATGAGTTATCATATTCATTCCATGCATTTGGGTTCTGATCGTCCCATTCATCCAAATTATTTGTAAAATAATTTACCTTCCTAATCACCTTATAATCATCTCTAATAGAATCATAGCCATATCCTTGATAGGTAATGAGTGGAGAAATATAATATGGTACAAGTTTTATTCGACTGGGAGGAACGACCTTTAACTTACCTGTAGCAGGGTTCCACAAATACAATATTTCATTATCCCCTGAGTGGAGGCAAAAAATTCCATTAATACTAGAATTACCCAAAATATACCAACCTAAAGTATGTTTCTCTAGAATTTCATTTGGCCATTGTTGTTTGTCCATATTTTGTAATCTCTCACCATAAAGTGAAAATAGGGAGGTTTCAGAATAATATTGGTGAAGTATACCGATATGTACAAGGAGAGATGTATCGTCATAATAAGAGTGATGTTTGGATATGAAATAATTACGAAAAATGTTCATGAAATGAGAATTTTCAAACAACAAAGCCCATGATTTGCATACGCATCCAAATCTCTTGAGAGATTTCAAAGGTAATTTAGAAAGAATGGAAAATACAATATCTTCATGTAAGTGATTTATAATCTTTAAAATCAATTTATTGTCTACGTTCTCATCTTTCGCCATTGCCTTACAATTGCGTATATTTTGCAATGTGAACAAATCTAATAGAATCAATCCAACAATAAAACCACTTATAACAACTATATTAAGTCACCATAATCAAACATTTATATTCATTCACCACACCTCCAAATATAACCTCATCTACAAAACCATCAAACACGTTTCTTTTGGATCAATTGATTTCTTTTATTAGTTAATTTATATCACCATCCAATTTATACACCAATAAATCTATTGACATCTTCTAATAATAAACTCATTTTCTAGTCAAGCAAAGCTCGTTTAATATTTTAAAGAAGATGCAATATATAATTATAAAATTAAATGTGAATTCAATGTAATTATTTAGAAGAAATATTTGGTCTAAGATAATCTCACCTCCTAATATAATTACATCCTACAAAATTATCATCCCAATTTGCTTTCAATTAATTGATATTTTTTTATTAATTAATGATCATCATCATCCAATTTATACTTTATAATTTTTTATAGAATAATAATATATTTATACTTTATAATTTTTTATAGAATAATAATATATTAATGGAAAAACGTCTATAAATTTTAGTGAGAAAAATATTTATTTAAGATATCTATCTCTATTTTCGTATTCTTCTAGTATTAAAAAAATCTTGTTTACTTTATTTTCTTAAATTATATTCATACATTTTTTAATATTTTACATATCCATCTTATCATATTCAGCATCCAAAATTTTAATAGCATCCTCCCTCCTGTTTCAAATTTCAAGGATTTCAAATACCATAAATTCAGACCATAAAAAAATACATCTTTGTTTCATGTGATAACACGTGTTTAAAGTTAAAAATCATTTTAAAGTAACAATAAACAAAAATAAAAAATTGACAATAGAAACAAAACAAAGAGATTAAACCTTCCACTTAAAATTATAGTGAAATATACATATTATAGATCTACCAAATGATTTCTTAATTTATCATGTACACTTGGTTATAATGCGAAATTGGCATAAACTAAGTCATATTTGTAATAATAGATAATAATATTGGTAATTAAATCAATAATAAAATTAATTACTCTCATAAATTAAATCGATATTAAAATTAAATACGGTTATGAAATAATATTTATTTTACATTAATATTATTATGAAATATTATGAAAATAGTTATTATGAAAAATATTAATATTAATTTTTTTTATTCGATAGGAATGATATTTACTTCTACTGATCCAATGGAAAATCATAATTAAATATTAATATTCTTTGTTTCATTAATAAATTTAGTGAGCTCCAACAGTAGCTAGTTGTCAAATACTGATTATAATTAATATTATAATTACATGTTAATTAAATACTCGTTATGGTAATAATGAACCTTCAATATTATAATTAATATTACATGTTCATTAAATTACTAAACAAGTTTTGCAATATGTCAATATGTTTATCGGAAATGGATGGTTATACAAGTAACTAATAGTAAAAGAAATTAATTATCTAAAAGAAACGCGGTTAATATGTGTAACATATGATCATATTATGATGATGAATTAGTTTGGATAGATTTAAGTATGAAAAATTTGATGTAAGAGAAAAGTTAGATTAATTCAAATTAATAATTTATAAAAAAAGTCTTCTTTTAATTGAGGAAATAAATAATTAAATTTTTTTCTTATCATTGATTATTATTAATTGATTATTATATATATATATATATATATATATATATATATATATTTTGCGTTATAATTTTATACATAAATATACGAATATAATTAAAAAAAATAAAATAAACAAGGTCTTTTTAATAATAGAAACATAAGAACATATATATGAAAATAAAGTTAGAGATGTTGAATAAATATTATTCTCACTAAATTTTATTGTCAATTTTCTATTAATATATTATTATTTTATAAAAACTAGAAAGTATAAATTATGTAATACAACTATTAATAATTATAGGTTAATAAATATTAAATATTAATAATATTTTAATTTTAACTGTAATTGCTTAAATTTAAATCATTAATATATTATATTTTTTCTCTCTTTCTGAACAATATAATAAAACAATGGTCTAACATTTCTTTTTAGTTTCATTTAATATATATTTATTTATATTTCAAAATTTAAATTTTATTTCTCTCCTCTAAATTCTTGTTTTTTTTTTCGTTTTTTTATTTGTAATTTATTATTTTTTTTATGAGATCACCTCTTTGATTTTATTTTATTTTCTGTTTTTTTCTTTATCACATCTTTTTTACGTGAACATCATGACAGCAATTTTAACATTCGATAAACATCATTTTTTGGTTATATTTTCATTTTCTTTTTATACTAAATTTCATGAAAAATTAAATTTTAATTTAAAAAATTATATTCATGACAGATAAATCTATGAGATTAAATTATTTAAAATTAAGTGATATTGCTAGTACAAATAATTGTTAAAGAGTTTTCAAGATTAAACCATGTGATGATATAAGTGAAATACAAAGACTTCCTTAGAGCTTTTACCACAAAAAAATTGTGATATTTTATTGATTTTTTTTAAAATTATTTTAAAAATTTTAATTTGTAGAACTTACTCATAGATAATTAATTATCTATAAAATTAAAATTCATAGTTGATATTCTCAATCATGTGGGTACTTAAATCCAACCAAACTAATT